TTTGTCACATATCTGACTCCTGTTTTCAATGAGGGAAATTAGTCTAACCACTTTATCTCTCGTTAAATTTAAATTTATATTGGCACGACCTTTCATACTCAATATTTAATACGAAATTTTAAATTAAACGCAAACTGTATACTTTTTACAAAAGTAAAATAAAGACTTCTTCTTAACATGCCATACACCAAAGTGCGTAGGCGACTATCTCATTACTAGAATTCTGTTGGCGTGACACAGCTCACCTGTATTGTGTATTCCTGTCCATTCTTTAATATTCCTTAACCAGGACAATTGTTTGCGGCCGGCTCCTCTCCTACCTTCGATCTTCCCTTGTAGGATTAACTGTGGTATTTCATATTTTGCTCCTCTCAATATGTGCCCAAGGTAACCAATCTTGCGTTTTTTAATTAATTCAAAGAGTTCTCTTTCCACGCCGGCTCTATTAAGGACGTCATCGTTTCGAACTCTATCCACCCAAGGTATGCGCATCATTCTTCTCAATGACCACATTTCAAATGCTTCAAGTTTGTTGATAGATGTTTTTTTCAAAGTCCACGTTTCCATGCCATAAAGCAAGATGGACCATATGTAGCACTTGACCATTCTGTAGCGTATTTCGAAGTTTAGGTGTTGATTACATAGGAGCGGTCTGAATTTCACAAAAGCTTGTCTTGCCATTTGTATTCGGGTTTTTATCTCGTGTTGTGGATCCGATTGGTCATTGATTGTGGTGCCAAGGTATTTAAAAGTTTTCACGCGATTTATACGATTGTCACCTATGCATAATATCGGGTTTTCTGGAGGGTTTCTGCTAATGACCATATATTTCGTTTTCAAAATGTTGATTTTGAGGCCATATTTTTTACCTATGCTATTCACCCTATCAAGTAATAACTGCTGATCTTCCAAATTATCAGTTATAATCACTGTGTCGTCCGCATAGCGTAGGTTGCTAATTGGTATGCAGTTCACCTCAGGGGCGTGCGGTGCATGGATGCAAGGGATGCATTGCATCCCCTAAAATCTAAAATTTATTATCAGTAATTAAAACTACATAATCATATTTTAAATTGATTTGTAATAATTCAAATATTTAAAGATAAAATACGTTTTTCAAGAAATCATTAAATTACTTTACGAATGCAATTACTGGCAACAGCGCACGGTGATTGTAATATATCTTTGGATGCATTTTCTGGAACCAATACCAGCCAATACCATTCTGATCGCGCTAGCATCACTTCAATTCGGCAGCACACGTCGACTCTCGGGGCCCGGGCCCAATTTTTATAGATTTGGACCGGCATTTTTAAGAATACTGGATGCAATATTATATTTGCTTACCATAGGCAAGGCGACTGGAGTAGTTCGCATATGACATTGTAATACAGTGCGTGTTTTGCATTTATATTAATTCGAGTAGTTTTTGCTGTGTTTCACGTGTTTTAATTTTATTGTACGTATATGTATATATTTTATTTCATTTTACGTATATGTATATATAATAATTTAAGTAGTTTTTCCGAAATGAATTCAGATTTACCCCAACCGTGTACAAGTTCTCAATCCTGTCAGGAAAACAGTAATGGACAGTGTTGTATTGTGTGCGATTTATTAAAATGTGGATTTTCAAAATTTAACTTTCAAGAAAAGTGTAATATTATATCTGTAGGCAGGCCAAAACCATTACTGGAAATTCAAACCAAGTCGACGAAATGTACACGTTATTTTAACAAAAATATATACGATTCCTTTAAGTGGTTGACAGGTTGTAAAACTCTCTCAAGATTATTTTGTTTTCCGTGTATATTATTTAATATAAGTGATAAAAACGTGTGGAATAGTACGGGTTACTCAGATTTAAATAATTTGCACAAATCTATAAAACGACACATTTTAAGTAAAACGCATTTAGAAGCAGTTATAAAAGAAAAGACTTTTGGGAAAACCCGAATTGATCACGCTCTAGATAATCAGCTTAAAGTTAGTCACCGCATGCATAATGAGCAAGTAAAAAAAAATCGTGAAATATTAAAAAGACTGATTCATATTACATGTTTCCTTGGAGAACATGAACTTAGTTTCCGAGGGCATAATGAAAATTATGAATCTGTAAATAGGGGAAATTTTGTGGATTTAGCAAATTTTTTATCTGAATATGACGAACTATTAAAAAGTCATTTAGATCAATCTACTGTATTTCGAGGTACCTCGAATAGGATACAAAACGATTTGATCAAGTCTGTGGCAGATATTGTTCTGCAAAAAATCAAAGAAGAAATAAAAGAAGCACAATTTATTTCCATTGTTCTAGATGAAACTACAGATATCGTGAATTTGAGTCAATTGTCGGTTGTTCTGCGTTACATCAAAAATAATGGTGAAATACAAGAACGATTTTGGGGATTTTTGGATATAACTGCAGATAGATCGGCAGAAGGTATATATAGACATGTCTGTAATATAGTTGAGGAACTGGACTGTGGTTCCAAACTTGTCGCTCAAAGTTATGATGGAGCTGCCGTAATGGCTGGGCACCTCGGAGGACTTCAAACCAAAGTTAAGGAGAGGTTTCAAAATGCAATTTTTGTGCACTGCTTTGCACACAGGCTAAATTTAGTTCTAGCGCAATCAGTCGCACTCAATAAGACTTGCAAGGTATTTTTCCAAACCTTGAGTGGAATGGCTGCTTTTTTTTCTAAATCTTCCAAAAGAACACATGCTTTAGATGTCATTCTTCAGAAAAGGTTCCCTCGAGCAGCTCCCACCAGATGGAATTACAATGGGAGGTTAGTAAAAACAGTTTCCCAATATCGGCAATCCCTAATAGAGTTATTTGAAAGCATTTTGGAGCATAAAGACCATTGGGACCCTGAAACTGTGAATTCCTCAAGAGGTTATTTGGAATTAGTCAAACGAGATTTTGATTTTAATTTTTTGCTTCAAGTATTTTCTGAAATATTTCCTTATACAGACATTTTATTTGATGTATTGCAGACTAAATCAAATGATATCGGATTTTGTATTAAAAAAATTAACGAATTCGAAGTCCAAATCAACAGACAGAGGGAGCAATTTGATATCATGTGGCAAAAAACTTGCGATCTAGAAGAGATGGAACCCAAGAGAAAACGCATTAGAATTGACGATGTAGGCGACACAAAAATATCTTATAATCGACTTTTTTGTGAAATAATAGATAATATTTCCCAGCAGCTTAAAGAAAGATTTAAAAACCTTTGTGAGTTAAGATTTGTGGAGTTATGCAACTTCAATAAATATGCCGACTGTAGTTTCCCGGATGAGGCTTTTAGTTGTCTAAAAAAACATTATGCAAACTTTTTTGACCTTCTTTCCCTGCATTCCCAACTGTGCGTTTTGTATGCTTCTCAACACTCTATACAAACTGATACTAGTTCTAAAATGCTGACATTTCTTAAACAAACTGAACTGGATGAAGCATATAGTGAGGTTTCAAAATTATGTGACTTAGTGATGACAATACCTGCCACAAGTGCGTCTGTAGAACGAAGTTTTTCTGTACTAAAGCGTATTAAAAACTTTGTCAGAAATTCCACAAGTGAGGAGAGGCTAGCTAACTTAGCAATTTTATCAATTGAAAAAGAACTTATTAAAGAAATGTCTGAAAATCCCAGTTTTTATGAGTCTGTGATAAACGAGTTTGCCAAGGTTGATAGAAGAATAGAGCTGCACTACAAGTAAAAAGGTTAGTAAGTCTTTTTATCATTTCCTTTAATTTGCATCCCTTTCTTCTAATGTCACGGCACGCCACTGGTTCACCTTAATGCCTAATTCCGTATCTTCTAATGCTTCCGCAAATATATTTTCAACATATAAATTAAAAAGCATCAGAGAGAGTATGCAGCCTTGGCGGACACCTTTCCGGATTTCATATAAATGATTTCAAATAAAGACTGATAATATAAAAACGAGACAAAATAGCAATTACCATTTTTTTTCTTAAACAGTAAGCTGTATTTACACATTTCTTTTTAATATTTATTCTAGCCTTACTATTCTTAAGGGCCAGAAAGAAATAATTTTAATTAACCAAATGCTGTCAGAAATATTTGTAATTTTAAAAGTGATGTGATACTTTTTTGGCGGATCTATATATGAGGAAAAGTTTTGAAATTTATTTCAATAATTCTGATAATCTCCCATGACAATTCACTAACGACACCATTACTAATATATTAACGAATTATAAAGTAAACAAATAAATAAATTACTAAAGAAATTTAATTTACCTACGATTCGTTGTCCTCGTCCATGTTTGACACAGTGGTTCTTGCAGTTTTCTGGTCTCGTAGAAAGCTGATTAAATCAAAGTACTACAAATGTGGTACATATACATCGTCGGCACCTGCTCCCCAGGTGGTACCACAGAGCTTTTGCATAAGGTTGTCTTTTTACTCAACTTTTGGACAGTTCTTGTTAAATGCTCTTTAAAAGATAATCTTACATCTAAAGTTACGCCCAGGTACTTCAATGTTTTGTTGTGGGCGAGAGTGGTATTTTTGAACTGTATGTTCGGTGGCCAATATGTTGGCGTATGGCATATGGTGTATGTGAAAGCATTAAACCACTGCGTTGGAAACATTTGGTTGTAGTCTCCATTTGCGCAAACATTTGTTCAATATATGTAGATCTGCCATAAAGATGTCTTTAGATGTTTCTAATGTTTTGCATCTAGTAGTAAGGACTCAGCCTCAGAGTATCAGAACTTTCTTGGTTGTGTTCTCGGCAAAGCTAAATAGTAGTGGAGAGAGCACTGACCCTTTTGGTAGGTCAGTGTTGTTTGGTTAGGAGATCCTAAGAATTATCTTACTGACAGTATGTGCTAGTTCATTTAGCGTTACCCAGGGTGTACGTTTAGTATTTCTACTACGAACGCGAACTACAGTTATACCTCCGTTTTATAATAACGACGACCCTATGAAACACAGGGCAAATAACTACATTAAAACAAAATTTTGGTTATTAATAACTTTACTCTTAATCTCTTTTTAACATTTTAATATATTACATCTTATGAGTACTATAACATTTAAACCAGCGCGCTCACTTTACTTTTCTTTGGATATATAAGAAATAAGCTTAGCTGGATTCCTGACAGAATACATCCTATTAAATTTGGAACCTGTAGAAGTATAATAAAAAATAAGTTAAAGAAACAAGAAATAACAATGTTTTTAAATTTAAACAGATACAACACATAGTTTAGTTTTCAAAAACGTACGTTTATTAACAGTGGTTTCTATTTATGTGCCTTAACTAAAACACAATTTAAAAAAGAAAGACAGTTAAGATTTGGTTTCACGTATAATGCCTCTGTATATTCGCTTATATGTATTTCATTCTAAAAAGAATCTTCGAAACGACTTCGATTGTTTTCACGTTTAGAGCTTCTGTGAATAGTCGCTCCGAAGATTCCTTTTAGGATGAAATACCTATAAGCGAATATACAGGGGCACTATACGTGAAATCTTAAGGCTGTTTTATCAGTACACCAAAACCTAGATACAGTGTTTTCTCTGTTATTTACTGACAAAATATCTCGAAATTTGGACACGTTATTCAAAATTATGTTGCCTTTAAACTGATGGTTTTACTTTTTTAATTTTTTTGAAAGTTCTTTTGAAATATCGGATTATACAGTTTAACGTTCTATTATAACCAAACTTTTTACGCCCATCACTTGAAAGAGTTTTTTTTTCTGTAATCGTTGGTTTTTTTTTACCTTTTTATGTCCAGTAATAATCGAGAAAAGCGTGTTCAAACTTTGAAGAAAATTGCTAAAAAATACTGAAATCTAATAGTGAAACGTGTTACTCATCATTGGCATTTAGTTTCACCGTTATCGGCTGCGTGACGTCAAATCTCATGAACGTACGGTCAGATAGTTTGATTTGAAATCAATTTCATTCTATAACTGCGAAATTGTTTATTTGTTTGTGACAACAAATTGTATTTTTTTTATAATAATATTTTTATGTTATTTTAAATTTATTATAAATAAACAACATGTTTTTTGCAGTAACGTTTCACAAATTTATATTCAATACTATATTTAGCTAAGACATATAAATTAAAAATGTGATAATTATTTTTAAAACATCTAGGATAATCACACAAAAAAGGTATTCCCGACAAAAGTAATTTAAATGGAGAATAATGCATTTGTTGTCATTAAACCACCCGCCAGCCGGCACCACTGCGAAAACAGCTGTACCCGTCGTCGGCTGGCGTAAGCAGTGAGGAAAAGTAAGTGATACGCCCATTTCAAATCGCAGTGTGTTTCGACTGCTAAAACAGCCTTAACTGTATTTCCTTTTGATTTCGATATACTATTTATGAGTACGAGAAACCAATTCGCCAAAGATTTTTGCTTAGTTGAGGAGATATGTTGTGGAATGCAATTTTAAATTCACCATTTTCTCTAATCCCACCTTTATCAGCCTTGCAATTCTTAGAAGATACAGATTAAAGCAAAAACCTGGATTTTAGTTTCGTCAATTAGAAATCTTCGGATTTCTAATTCGTGATTCGACACCATTTAATTTATTGGTTTAACAGGCCAAACATAATGGCAAAAGTTGGGACCTGAAGTCAGATATTTGAAAATTTCCATTATCGTACGTCCAATATCTCTTGGACGAGATTTCTCGTCTCGGTTAGATGAAGAGATATGTTGTGCAATGCAACTTTTAGACTCCCCATACCTCTCTTACACCTTCAGCATCGTCTAGTTTGTCTTGAAGGTTATAGAAGGCGCAGATTAAAAGCAAAAATCTGAATTTGGGTTTCGTTAATAGATATTTTCGCATTTCTACTTTGGAAATTTATTCTCAAATGTCGCTATAGCGTCATTTTATTTCACTTTTAGAGCTTCTGTACCAGTTTCTCTCATGAATCTTGTTATAATGAAATACGTATCAGCGAATATACAGGGGCACTATACGTGAAATTAAATCTTAACTGTCTTTTTTTATTTTCATATACGCTTTATGAGTACAAGAAACCAATTCAAGGATTTTTGCTTAGATAAGGAGATATGTTGTGGAATGCAACATTTACCCATACACCTTCTCTTACACCTTTAGTATCGTCTGTTTTGCCTTGCCATTTATAGAAGGCTCAGATTAAAGTAAAAAATCTGAATTTTGATTTCGTTAATAGAAATCTTCGCATTTCTACTTTGGTGATTTATTTCTCGGGAAGTTTATTCTTGGTGCTGATATATGTGTTTTTATCCACTCGCAGACGAAAAATAACAATATTTACCCAGGAAACGAAATTATTTTATTGTCGGTATAAGGACTGGACCCACCATGTGATCGAATGTGATCGGCACGCCGCTTAAGTGAAAAACAATGCGCTGGCGCGTGATCGACAGTGAATGGATTATCTGAAAGCTATCGAAAGATTGTTCAGCATTAATGTTGATACTAAGTTAGGCAAACTCTGAAAGCAGAACTACCTCGTAATAAAAAAAAAAAACAAAAAAAAAGTTGGAATAGACAATTTCACTTTGGTTCGGAGACTGCGAATACTTCTACCGTATTCTCTGACGTTTTATTTTTGGTTCATAATCAGTAAGATTCACTATCGACGACAATTCGTGTAAAGAGAACGGAAATCACAAGAAATATGGGAGACTGTTAAACATTGCGTAACAACACCAGTGGATCGCTCAAAGAAAAATAATCCGGTGAAACGGAAACACTGGATAACAGATGAAACTCTTAAAATAATTGAGAATAGAAGAAATCTTTGTAAAAGTGGTGTACATAGTGAAAGGAAAAAAGTTAGTCTAAGAAACCTCAATAAAGAAATAAAACGAAGATGTAAGGCCGACAAAAAACAGTACTATCAAAGTATATGCAAAGAAATTGAGAGACATGGTCAGAATAATCAGCCGAGAGATCTATTTAGAAAAATACGCTACCTGACAACAGACTTCAGAGCCAGAACTTGGGCCATTGAAGATAACACTGGAACCCTGAGAACAAACAGAGAAGACATAGCAGAGACATGGAGATCGTATTGCAGGGACTTATATAACAAGCTCAAATATAACAAAGCACCAGGTCCAGATATCATAATAGCAGAAATGCTTAAAGCCACAGAAGAAACCGGCGTAAAGTTACTTCATCTACTCTGTAACCAAATATGGCATTCCAAACAATGGCCTGAAGACTGGACAAAATCTACAATAACGACCATACATAAAAAAGGCAGCTTCCATAAATGCGACAATTATAGAACTATCTCTCTTATATCCCATGCCAGCAAGATAATGCTACATATAATCAATGAGAGACTGAAAACATTCCTTCAAAGAGAAATTCCACAAGAGCAAACTGGTTTACCAAAGGTAGAGGCACTCGAGAACACCTGCTGAATATAAGACAGATAATCGAGAAATCTAGGGAATTCAACATCCCACTATACATCTGTTTTATAGATTACCGTAAAGCGTTCGACAGGCTCAAGTGGAGACACTTATGGCGAATACTAAAAGAAGTAGGCGTACCACAACATCTAATTACGCTTACAACCGAACTATATGAACACACTACTGGATCAGTTAAAGTACTTGACACACTTTCGAACGAATTTCATCCAGAACGGGGTGTCAGACAAGGATGTATACTATCTCCACAATTATTCAACATATATGGGGAGTATATTATGCGAAGAGCACTTGAAGGATGGAAAAAGGGCATCTCAATAAATGGTCATAAACTAAACAACCTACGTTTCGCAGATGACACAGCCCTTCTTGCAAATAGTCAAGCAGAGCTGATAGAACTTATACAACTGATCGAAAACGAAAGTCAAATATTTGGTCTGCAAATAAACATATCAAAGACAAAGATCATGATAGTGGATAGACTACACAACAATCATCCACACATAACCACAATTGACCGGTTCGAGGTGGTGAGCTCATACTTATATCTGGGATCATTAATCACAAACACAGGGTCATTACAAGAAGAGATTAAACGTAGATGTGATCTAGCAAAAGTTGCCACAACAAAAATGACCAAAATATGGAAGGACTGTCAAATTTCAAGAGCGATAAAGATGAGGTTGATCAACTGCTTAATATTCCCAATACTGACCTACGGATGTGAATCTTGGACTCTGAGACAATCGGAGAGAAGAAAGATAGACGCCACTGAAATGTTCTGTTGCAGACGAATGTTACGAATTCCTTGGACCGACCGCAGAACAAATAATTCAATTTTAAGAGAGCTAAAAGTTAGCCAACGACTCTCTAGTAAAGTCCATCTCCAACAATTAAAATATTTTGGGCATGTTCTGAGAGCAAACACAGAAAACATGGAAAGACTCATAATACAAGGAAAGGTAGAAGGCCGAAGATCACGAGGAAGATCCCCAACAAGATGGATAGATCAAATTACAGGAATATGCCAAAGACCTATGCATGAATTAAAAGAAATGACCAGAGACAGAAATCTCTGGAGACGGACAATACACGACATCACGTCGACCACTACACTCCCCCTGGGGGGTCAGGATTGAAGAGAGAGAGATTCTCTGACGTTTTATTTTTGGTTCATAGTGATAACAGTAAGATTCACTATCGACGACAATTCGTGTAAAGAGCATTAGGTAATTGTTGATAGTGTACCACTACATGTAATTATACGGCCTAATTCATATAAGCCTTTGTGAGATCTACTCGGTAGTAGCTGACAGAACTAAGACCAAGAATTTGTCAGTAACCACGCTGATATTAACATTTCTGCATAACGCAGTTTCAAACTGTCTCAGATTTTTATCTGACGCCGTAACAAGAACAGGACATTATATGTGTGGTTGCGCAACTATATTGTGTAAATATCTTACCTACGACTTACCTGGACAAACTCGTCCTTTAAAACATATCCGTAAATGAGCCATTGTAACGACACAATGAACGAAGCGAAAATAAGATGATACGGAAGACTCTCTGTACTCTTCATTTTAATTACATGCAGAAGTGACGCGAAAGGAGCGGCGAAAAATAAAATAGTAACTCCACAACATACTAGTCCCAAATGTGATCGGACTAGCTCTTCTTCAGTCGCATTGTTATGGATGTGGAGTAAAATTATCACCAGGAAAAAGAAGCATCCCAGAAATTGACGAACTATGGCGGTCTAAAACATATATAAGAAAATACTAAATAAATAGAAGAAATAGTTGATAAATAAACAATAATAATATATTAATAATAATAAAACAGGGCTGAAGAAGTGAATAAACATATACGAAAAAGTTTGATACACAGTGAGATTTACACTGCAGATTTACATAATATTTAAAACTTTACTATATATAGTTCTCTGGACTAGTCTCCATTACGAACTCAGTTTCCCAAGCCCCAGCTAAAAAAAAATACCCAACCGTCAGAAATGTTCGCGCCAATCCCCACGCTAACCCTCACACCAATCGCCATCCAAACCACCTCACCATCGATAGTGTAAATGAATGAACCGTCCGCTGTTCCCAGTAGCAGTAATGCATTGATTAGTGATCAGTGTAGTAGTGTCTATGGGCTCGGGGGGACAAAGACCTCGGAAGCACTGAACAAGACTTCAGAGAGGACGTCGAAAGCTTGGCGCAGTGATAATCCACGCGGTTCAACCCGAAAGCCTGTTGAGTTTAATATTAATTCCCGTAATAGTATTATTCTTAGCTTTAGGTTTAATAATTATACCAGTGTTATTGGGAGTTTAGCAAATTTATTGCTGATATAAATGTTAGTGAAAAAAAACTGAGTCATTTGCGATACGCTGATGACATTGTAATATTCGCTACAAGTTTCGAAGAACTACAGACCATGATGACGCAACTATTTCAAGGTTAGGAAAAAGTAAGTCTTAAGATGAACTTGGAAAAAACAAAAATAATGACAAATACAGTCCGTCCCAAACCCTTCTTTCAGTGCGTCATAGTTGTTCGAATTCTCTCTAAGCATTAAGCTAGAAGTGACAGAAAAAAAACGTGAGTCGCTGATTATTATACATAGAACTTAGAAAATTAGGTATCGTTCACGGGTATTCGCATATTAAAGCGAATTCTACTTACGAACGTATAATTGGTTGGAGTTTAGAATACGCTAAATAGATATCCAATCAATTATGCATATAAATATAATTTGACACAGATGATCTTGATAATGACAGTGACAGTACTTTCACAATGTCAACTGATAAAATGATAATTGCCATTCCAGGTTAGTATTTTCAGACATTTTAACTACAGTGAAAATTAAATTTTGTATTTATTGTCATAAAAATATTTTAAATATTCCGAGATATACCGAGAATGAAAAAAGACTAATATTAAAATTATTAAATTAGTTTCAATTAGAAAAAGAGGCTGAGACATCTTTATTATCAGTTTCTGTCGTTCGCGAATCAGATTGTGAATTCCGGAATGATATTGAGGAAATATCTTAAACTAATACCTTTATGGATATTTATATGTATTAAAACGGTTCTTTTTAGAACCACGACATTTTCTTGAAATGTAGGATATAATTGATACCAGCCACATATCTAGTGTAATCATTGATTTTCAAGAATCAGATTCTGAATGGGATTATAGATTGTTTGAAATATAATATTCATTTTTGTTATTCATAAAAAAGAAGGTAAACTTACATTCGGTATCTTGTTTTTTAACTAAACTCCATTAACACGATTTCATCTGGATATCGGAACTGGTAGATTAACTCAAATCAACTGCTTCACTATTTAAACTATTTATATTGTTTTTTTTTTAACTAAACTTTATAACCTTCTTTCATTTGCACACCAAATCTGGTAGAATAACTCAAAAATCAACTGCTTCACTATTTAAACTATTTCCACTATTTAATGACAACTCTTCACAAAATTAAACTATTGGCTGCCACACAAACTTATCAGAAAATTACTTATCCAAATATGACTGATTTAAATCGATATTATTTTATCACAGGAATGTTTACTTTGATGCCTTGCAATTGTCAGTAAATTTTTTTACCTTGCAGTAAACTCTTAAAAGATTCTAGGAGGAAGCGTTATTTTAAATAAACAAACCTTCCAATTCCCTAGTGTTTGTAATAAATAATAATAAATCCATAAACAAATCTTAGCTAATTAAGCACTTTCCATGGAATGTATAAAATAGAACAGAATAGAATAGAATTATGACAAACTGCTATGCATTAAAAAAAAATAACCTTTTCACGTTTAGCCGATTACGATCCTGCAACTGTCAGATTTAACTAAAATGTCATGCAATAATTCTCGACATTCTTAAAATCCTATATGACGTTAAAATTAGTGACGCACTGAAAAAAAGGGTTTGGGACAGACTGTACACCGAACATTAGAAAAATAACGTTGAACGACATAAATTTAGAAGCAGTAAGCGAATATATCTACCTGGGACAGATAGTGAAAGTTAACAAAGAAAATCAAACTGTTGAAATTACCAGAAGAATAAGGTTAGCGTGGGCAGGATTTGGAAAACTGAGTTGGATCTTAAAAAGCACTAAAATATAAGTCTAATATAGATAAAATAGTAAAGTCACAAAGAGCGATGGAAATATCAATGCTCGGGGTGAGACTTATAGACAAAAAAACAAACAAATGGATTAGTCAAGTCGCCCCTTGAAATTATTAGCTCTAGTTTCTTTCTCGATATTAGTATATCTTGTAGTTGTTCGTAAAATTCCTCCGGAAACTTCACTCTTTTTACCAGCTGTAGGATACAACTGTTTAAGTTCTTGCCTAATATTGTTTGATAAGTTAATTTGAATAGGGCAAAAAATTTACAACTTATTTGTCGATACTTTTGCTTATCATGCTTTCAGACTACATTAAAGTGGTCTGTTCCTTTTCCAAAATGTTCCTTTATTTAATCCCAAAGTGTCCACCAATGTACAAAGGCGATTCTACAGGATCTACATATATTAAAAAAGATTCCTCTGGATCCACGCCATATTTTCGTTCAATAAAGTACTTATCGAAGAGTTCTTGTTTAACAATATTACTGAATTATCTTTTCCAACAACATCATTGAATTACCTCTCTAGTATAAGTAGGAAATACACTATCGGAAGAATTTCTTGTAGCTAATGGATTTCGGCTGCGATGTTGTCTTTCTCTGGTTTTGTTTAAAATATATATAAAGGAAGCTGTGAGAAGATGGAGAAGATCCTGCTTTGGAATTATCATACAATTAATGAGAAGAATACATTGGACCCCCTGTATTTAATTTATGATCAAGTGGTTATAGTCCAGGACAAAGATGGCCTAGAATTTATGACTAAAAGGTTATTTAATGAAAATGAAAAATGTGGTCCATAGATACGTTAATCGGTCAAAAACATACCTGTGCATTGGGAATCTAACAGGAAACCTGATCATAGATGAAAACACTGTAATTAATGCTTGTAGAAAGTATACATATTTAGGCACAACAATTAACCATAGTAAACGGTCTATAAAGGAAATAGAGAAGAAAAAAGGTTAAATTCAATACTGTGGTCCAAAGATATATCTCGAGAAAGAAAATAGCTCCTTTTTAACTCAATCTTTAAATGTATCGTTCTGTATAGATGTGAAGCATGGCAACTAAACAAATCCCTAGAACGTCGCTTATTGTCCTTAGAAATGTATTTATCATGCAGATCTGCAAAAATAACTTTTAAAAAATATATCCAACGACCAAATACGACAAAATATGAGAGTCCCAACAAATATTATTGAAGAAATCGAACGCTTACTTAGTTTGGTCATGTCTAAAAAATTGAGGATAGACGACTTCCTAAGCAAATAATAAAATAGGTACCAGTTGAAAGCATGAAAAGGAAAAGACCAAAATAGACATGGTTAGGAGGCGTTCAAAGAACAATGTCGGAAAGGAATCTTCGGTCTGGAAATTAAAACGACAGGCGTTAATGAAAGCTAGAAACTGGAAGGCGTAAGACGTTATGAAAGATGAAGAAGATTAAATTATCTTTTAAAATGTTTCCTCTACCTCGATACGTATTATTGCATTAGCCACTGTTATTAACAATTAATAATATTTGGTATACAAAAGTAAACGTGTTTGCCTCTATATAACATACACGTATAAACATATACCTTCCTTATGAATCACCCTTTACAATAGCCCTTATACTATTAGTAATACTTAATACAATAATTTATTGTCGATAGGAAAAATTATTGAAACAGTGATAAAACGTAGTGAAGTACCCAAACACGGCTAACCTTGATAAGATTACAATACCCCCACACACCTAAAAATATATACAATGTACAATTAACCGCATTTTAAACAATTTAAAATAAAAAATTATCAACAGCAATACTAAAAATTTATTTTTACATGATATATTTAAATATTCATATGAGTGAGGACGTGAAATTTTGCATATTGCCAATATGAAAATATTTTTTTTACACGATACGCTATGATAAATGCTTGTTTATCAATCTACCAAGGCTTATTCTGTTCATTTTTGGACGTAGGTCTCCCATTCTTTTTTACTTGTTTTTCAGTGCTGTTTTCATCCATCTTGCTTTAACATGTTGTTTCAGATCGTCACTACATCATCCGAGGTCTTCTTCCTCCTTTGTATTTCCACAGTTGCCAATATATTATCGGATTATTGTACCTTACGCTAGATTATAATTACATTTATCTGATCAGCCAAGAAGACAAATTAAAAAAAAAGGTCTCTCACTCTTTTCTCCAACGTTATTTTTCCTGGGTTATTTAAATAGTTTGTTGTCCTATTTAGCGTTTTACTTCTATTTTGCCCTGAACGATTAACGGCAGTAAGCGATATTTAGGCCTCCTCACTATGTGACCGACGTATTGGACCTTTCAAGGATTAACACCACAACTTAAACGGTTCTATAAGATAAAAAGAGTTTATCTTCGAGCAGAATACAAAAGCATGATCTCAAAAAGTAGAACAATCAAACCATTTCAGTTTCAAAAAGATATTGTCTTACCAAGATATTGTTACAATAATAAATATTATGACGTATTGGGACCGTGCAAGTTCGGAACAGCGACACCTGGTGTCGTAAATCAGCAAATATTACTGCGCTTTCATCGATGTTACCGGATAACTGTCAAGGACGTAGAC